ATTCGATAATGATATAGAGGAATTTATTAAATCTGGCTAATGCATCTTTTAACCTAATTAAACCACGAAGAACGAAATCCTTTAAAAGAGAAATTTAAACCAAACAAGACAATTATGACTATAAAATTTAATGAAAACTAACTTTAGAGAGAACTAACTTTAGAGAGAACTAACTTTAGAGAGAACTAACTTTAGAGAGAACTAACTTTAGAGAGAACTAACTTTAGAGAGAACTAACTTTAGAGAGAACTAACTTTAGAGAGAACTAACTTTAGAGAGAACTAACTTTAGAGAGAACTAACTTTAGAGAGAACTAACTTTAGAGAGAACTAACTTTAGAGAGAACTAACTTTAGAGAGAACTAACTTTAGAGAGAACTAACTTTAGAGAGAACTAACTTTAGAGAGAACTAACTTTAGAGAGAACTAACTTTAGAGAGAACTAACTTTAGAGAGAACTAACTTTAGAGAGAACTAAAAGATCCATTTATAGCATTAAACAGAAACCAATATAGTAATATCCAGGGAAAATCAACTAATAATATTTAAACCAACTTAACTTTTAAATACTGAAAATCTGCTCAATAATGTTCTCAAGAATCAGTAAAATGAACTCAAGACGAATTTGAATAATGTAAACTTGATCATGAGTCGTTTACATTACCAATTTAATTGAAATAAATAAAGAACTATCCAGCAAGGTAGTACCACTGAAAGTTCAAACAAAATTAAGAGATTAATGGAAAACAAAAACCAAATCTTTGAATCAAATCAAATTTCAACGGATCCTGCAAAATATATTCATAGCATCAGTCTGTAGACTAATGATCATTAATGTTCCAAGTTGATATATCAACTTGGAACATTAATGAGTTGAAAGCAAATTGGAAAAAAAACTAGAAAATTTATATATATATTTGATGATTTAGGGAATGCAGACGATCTAGTAAGGGGGAGGGGGGCAATTTTCAGATTTAATGATTTGTAAGCAAGCAATCACACAATTTTGAATTTACACTACATAATTTTATTTAGACAACCTAACTATATTATTTTCGTTTTCAAACAATTTGCTGTTTTTAATATACAAACTTAAAAAAATAAAAACATTCAAAACTTTCTACGGGGTGGCAATCGCCCCCATCATCTATAGCCCCGGGCCCCTAAATTTGCGGGGCCCGGGGCTATAGTCCCCTCTAGCCCCCCTCCTTAATCCGGCACTGGTCCCATGAAATAGTTTATTTATTTTCTTTTTAGTCCATTTTTTAAATGTTGTTTTTAAAAAGTTTTTTTATATTTTTTATTTTTTACTTTTTAATCCATTTATAAAACTTTGTTTTTAAAAAGTTTTTTTATATATATATTTTTTTATTATTCAACTTCGATTCTATTCATTTACTTTATAACTATATAACTTTATAACTATATAACTATATATGCTAAACTAAAACGCTAAAAGTTTATTGTTTATTGTTTGTTTTAATTATTTTTCTTAACGACTTCTTTTATTTACGCTAATCTAATGTCTGTTTTGCGTGGTTTGTTTTAATTACTTTTTTTAACGATTTATTATTACCGCTCACCTCGTGTTTCTCTTGCGCGGACACCAAAATAAACAAACCGAAAAGAAAGTTAAATAAAATGTTGTAAAAATAAATAATAAAGTAACAGAAAATTCAATTAAAACTCAGGGAAATCAAACAATACTACAGGACATAACTTCATTTGGAGGAGGATTATTAACATACAAGTATATAATACGATATTTTTTAAATCACAATTTTATAAAAATGGGGTTTAGTTACAATACAAAGTTATGCCTTCAGCCACTTATTTTAATGTATATGTATGTATATGAAAATTGTATTTATAGTAAAAAGCTAAACAAACAAACAAAATATTCAGCTCTAAATTTCTTAGATTAAGACAAAGTCTTGTCTTTTTTTTTTTTTAATTTTATGCTCGTGTACCAAATAATATATAATAATAGCTATAATATAGCTGGAGGGAGAGCCAAGTTGAAATACATCATTTTTTAAGGACCCGTTCTTGTAGTATCATAATTTTTATTAAAATACGTAACTATCGTAATTTAAAGTTAATCAATCAGGTTTGACTTTTTAAAAAAAACCCATCGCATGATATTGTTTCAAAATATCATAAGTAAACAAAGCATTGCCAGTTAAATTAAGCAACTTAATGCTCATTCGTGTGTATTTGCACAGAACTCACGACAAAGAAAAAAAGAGAATCGCAAAACACTTTTTTAATAAAGAAGTACAAAAAATGTATTTAAATTGATAACAATCTGTCATTTGCATTTATTGTAAAAATTCCACATGCATAGCATTACGTACAAGCAGTGCCGAATCAAGAGAGGGGGGCTAGGGGGACTATAGCCCCGGGCCCCGAAAATTTTAAAGGACCTTTTTTTTTTTTTAGTCATTTTTAGGCTCTGGCCCATAAAGAGGCTTCTAAAAACAAAAATAACCCCGGGCCCCAAAAGTCTTAATCCGCCACTGCGTACAAGTGTAAACATCTTTAAGTTAAGTTAAATTTGCTGGTCGTATATGAAACGTTTAAGTAAAATATGATTTTTTAAAATTTTCAAACAATTATAAGTCTTTTTTCTTAAACTGTTTTGTTCTGTATTTAAAAATACGGTAAATTTGAAACGTCGATTGGACGTCACAATTTTTTAGACAATTTTTGACCGCCTCCCCACCCTATTTGTCACCGGTTGTCCTTTTTTCCTATACCACACAGTGGGCCAGAATTCACTTTAGACAAAACTAATAACTCCTCATATAAAAAAGATTTAAGAACCATTTTTGCACTTTTTACTAATTTGAGGATTGCGGTTTCAATGGTAACAATAGTTTTAATTTTGGGCTGCAATGGATATCTAAATTGCTTAGCAACCACATATTTTATTAACCATTATAAAGATAAACTGGACCATAATTACCACATACAGTATTATTATACTCCAAATGTATTGGTACTAAGAATTTTTTATTGGATTAATCGTGATACCTGATTACCTGGCAACGATTTATTTTGCATAGTTAATAGTTAACTAATTATACTTAAATAATTAGTTAAAAAATAGTTAGTTAAAAAATAGTAAGATAATTAACAAGACTAATATCAATGTGGCATTCTGATTGAAAATTATTTTATGCATTTAAAAAACTAAACACATATCCAATTACTAACTTTAAGTGTTTTTATGCAGTTCTAGAGCTCTTTTTTATATTTCATGAAACTACTACATAAGAATCTAAAAACTACTACATAAGAATCTAAAAACTACTACATAAGAATCTAAAAACTACTACATAAGAATCTAAAAACTAATACATAAGAATCTAAAAAATAATCTAAAGCTTAAACCTTTTTGTGTATATAATAGTATAAAAATTTTGGTTTAAAATTATTTTTCATATCAACACTCATACATTCTGATAATTGTAAAGCTGTTTTAGCTTCTTTTTCTTTACCGTTTCGGCGCAAACTACAATCCGGTGCAAACAATAGTTCAGAAGATGAAAAGATGCAACTAATAGTGCCAATCTTCTTTTCTTTGTTTTATTACTTGAAGTATCATAATTCAGCCGAGGTCTAGAAACTACAGTGAATAAGAGGAGAGATATCAATGGAGAAGAATATTCTTTTATCAATTACAAATTAAACTGATCTAAAATTCGTTTTTTCAAGATTATAAACCCAATTTATATCGATAATATAGATGTTGAGCAATGTATTTCAAATCTCAAATTACTGGAGCACCTTGGACCGTAAAAGTATTTGATTATGTAAGTTAAATCTTTAATGAAAAAAAGTACTTCAAATACGCCGACATCTGAAATTATTTTATTTGACATAACTTACGTGTTGTAATAGCTCATTTGAAAGATAATACTTGATTTTATTAAACTTTGCAATAAAAAGAGAGGTTTTAAAATTAGCAACTATTTTATGATTATTAGTAACAAAAAAATACTTATAAATTAAAAAAAAAAAAAAATTGAAAAATTAAAAAAATAAAATATTTTTTATTCTACAGCTTAGAAGCGGATAATTATACAAAATTATATACTTCCATGATTTTATGAAGGCAAAAAATGTTATGTTCAAATATAACATAAAAAAAAAAGGTATACATTAATGTAATTTTTGAGAATGTATTTTTTTTACTTTTGTCGAGCACCTGGCCCACTGTGTGCCTCCTTAAAAAGGCTGTCATGTCTTAAAACAAAATCCGTTCTTCAAGGGCGGATCCAGCATTTTTCGGTCGCTGAGATAGCTAACTTCCAGCCGTGGAACAAACTCCAAACATTTATATGCTTATACTTATGTCAAATAAGGATGCTTTGCAAAAAATTGTGATGATTGGAGACTGGGAATAAAAAAAACCCAAAATTTTCGCACCCCACCCCGCCCTAAACGTGAGAGCAACAAGTTGATGAAATATTTTTTGTACTATTCTCAACTAGACTTATATTCATCGATAAATTTTAAATTTCATAGTAAAATATTTTAGCGTTCAAAAATTATGACCTTATAAAGTTTAAACCTAGGAAAAAAAGTTCTACAGAATTTTATAGAAACTTTTGAAACATATGGCGTATAGAAATTCTATAGAATTTTATAGAATTTCTATAGAGTTTCTGTTAACTTCTATAAAAATTCCTATTGAAATTTTTTTCTACTTTTTTTTTTATAGAAAAAAAAGTTTTATAGCAATTTCTATAGAAATTAATTGTCATTCTATAGAATTTTTATAGGCCATATGTTTTAAAAGTATATAAAAATTCTATAGAACTTTTTTTTTGGGGAGCCCACCTCAATTTGAGGAGGTTGCAAATTTTATATAGTCATAATTTTAGATCGCTGAGAGATAATACTATGAAATTTAAAATTTATCGATGAAGTCTAGTTGAGAATAGTACAAAAAATATTTCATCAACTTGTTGCTCTGATATAAAAATGCTTAAGTTAAGAAAATTTAAGCATTTTTATTGAAATTTTTTACATGAATTACATTTTTCTGTATTTAAATATCATTCAGTAGCTTATCGGGTATTTCCACGTTTGTTTCAGTTGTTTGTTCTTGTTCAGACCTCCCTGAAAAAAAAAATTTTGTCATATTACTCTTCTTCAATATATCAAATTTAATCAAAGTGCGTCAAAGAAACTTGCCTCACCTTTCGTTCATCCAGAATTTTTTAAATTGTCGTTAATTGGTATGATTGAAATAGGGCCGATTCGTCTAAAATAGTTGCATCATTTGGAATATTAAAGTCCTCCGTTTCAATTTCTTCCTCATCAAACTATTCACCAAAGGCCGTGTTCTCTTTTACCGCAATAACAGTCATTAACTCTATTTTGTGCTTGGCAGCAATGGGAACAGGTCTAACTCGCAAAAGGGTATTAGCTATTTGGTTAATGAAATTGGAATGATTAATAATGACATGACTTAGGAGGCAATGTACAAGTTACAATGCTTACAGATTCTCTAAGACAAACCTGATTGCACAAAGGGACAAAACAGGTTTTAAGGAGGAATTTTAAATGATTTAAGTGATCAGATCTTTCCAGCGAAATCAAAAGTTCTGTTTCTCCAAAAAGGATTCACTGTTTTACCACAAGTCTTGAGGGAGAATCAATCCCGCTAAACCAACACGGAAGACAACCACTGACTTGACCAATTTGATTAAAGGGTCTTTTGTAATGGAATCAAACTCTGGCAGAATCAAAAGTTGTTCAAAGTCCAATCCGTGAGCATACACTGTCCATGATAAATGCTTTCCAGATCGAACAGAAACATAAGTGGGGCCGAAATAGGAAACTGCTTTAGAATTTCTAAACCTATGTAGTTTGATTTAAATGCCTATGTAGAGAGACAGGATGAGCTTGTGATTTGCGGTGATGACTCAATCATGATCAGGAGAAACTTAACATTCCATATGCATTATAATAGGAGCTTATTTGTTAGCAGCGGTGATTCCAATTGGAACATGCAAGTTCGAAAAAACAAATTTTAAAAAATTAGGACTTTATTCTCTATTTATGTTATCTCCAATAACACATTGCGTAAGAAAAATTCGCAGTCTCGCACGAAGTTTGAAAGATCATGTTTAGTAACGTGCTCACAACCGTTCCTCATTCGGTCTAACAAATCGTTATTTCCAATTGGGGTTATTTGTCCTCTTGTAGTATTCTTAATTTTCGAGATTTTTTTCACAAGGATTTAAAAAAGGTGAGTATCGAGGTAAAAAATAAATTTCATAGGGATACCTATCATAAAAATCTGATAAAGAATGATGAAGCTTAACGTTGTCCATCACAAAGTAAACTCTTTTTCCTCCCCAATTCTACCTTTATCTCCTGTAGATTATAGTTTTTCTTCAATTAACTCATGTAGCCTATTTCTTATTTTTTCAGTACAACCTGACTGTCGAAAACCAACTCTAATACCAGGATTGATATTAGCTGTTGATATATATCGATGGACCAGGTGTCGTATTGAAGTCTCACTTCTTTGCACGAGATCCGATACTTCTTTTGTACTTTTACCTTCGTTAATTACAAGATTAATGATCAAATTTCTTACTTCAACATTCTGAGCATTGTCTTCGTGCGTTATTCATCTTAGAGATTTAAAAAAATTGAAGAGAAAACGGGCTGAAACTGTATATAAGAAAGTTAAATTAAATAAAGCAATAAAAACAAAACTATTAATCATAATAAAGAAAAACCACCAGATTAAATATAAAAAACCACCAGATTAAATGCAAAAAACCGCCAGATTAAATGAAAAAACCCACCAGATTCATGCAAAAATCCATTAAATTAAATGCAAAAACCGGTGTATATATATATATATATATATATATATATATATATATATATATATATATATATATATATATATATATATACATATATGAAAATAAAATTTAAATAAATATCAACGCAAACCTTTTTCTTTAATTACGATAAAAAAAAAACATTACATTCCCATTCGTTAACTTTATAAAAACACATGTTTAAACTGTTTTCCATGTTATTAAAACTAAAATAAAAAAGTTCTATAACGTGATGTCTTTTTCTGATGACCCCCTCCCCTTGTCCATTTTGTCTTTTTTATCTTGACTTGAAATTTAAAAAAAACACAACCATCAAAATTAAAATTAAATTCGACAATATTAAGTCTGATTTTAAATGCGCAAAGCTTGGAAAATCAGTCGAGAAAACTTCGGTAAAAAAAATCATGCAGAAAATACGTTATACATTTTTAACGATAGAAGAACTGAGCTGCTTTTTTTAAAATTTTAATAAAAATTTATGAATAAAAATAAATTTAATCTATTTCCTACTCTAAAACATCTTTTATTATAACGCAACTGTGAAAATCTAATTTGAACTAGATTTAGATTTTTTAAAAAGGCTAGTAAATAAACAACAAAACCCCCAAAAACTACGCAATACTCTTTTTTTTTTTCTAACATCAAAGTAAATCTGCAGGAACACTTTGACGACTTTGAGTAACTTCCCCCCCACCCCTCCCCTTTGATAATTCTTGCTAATTTACGTCATAATTTAATAATCCGCTAAAATCGGTATTTAAACACAGCTTAATTAAAAGTTCTTTCATTGAGAGTTTATTGCAGAAAAGTTGCTACAAGAAAAGTCTAGCAGATAGAGTTAACTTTTTTGACATAACTAGTTTCCTGTGACCCGATTTCCGGGTCCTGTTTTGCATTGTAAATAAATATAGTCTTAATGAGAGGGTTGAAATTTATTATAGCCTTAAATTTCAAAAAGCACAAAAAGAAATGTTATCTATGTTAGAGATACTTAAGTTATCTGTTTACGTAATCAATGAGGTAAATATACGCAACTAACGCAGTAAAGAGATTTTCTTTCTTAAAATAAGATGTTTAACTCAGATAACTCACTAACTTTTTTTTTCCGAAATAAAACGGGGTGAGAGTTCTAAGTATGCGGAAAAAGTTTTTTACTTTAAGAGCAATTTTTAAATGTATTATTTTTCTACCGTTTACTTGAAAATATTGAATTAAAAAAGAATAAATATAAAAATGGTCGCTTTGGAATAGCTTTACCAAATCCCGTAATTACGTTTTTTTACCCGTAAGTTTTTGCAATACAAGTCCAAACAGCTAATAAATGATAAAAATTTTGAAAAATTGTTAAATTTACTGATTAAAAATAAGTTGGATTTTTAATGTTTTTAAAACGACTATTACAATAGAACTGAATTAATGTCTAAACTAGAATTAGTAATATTTTTGACGGGTTAGCAAAAATATATTTATTATTCCTATATTTAAATTATAGCTATTTGTTTTTATATCGGCGAAAAGATTACAACACACAAAAAAATCCTGGAGAGATTTAATATGTTTTTTGCCAAAAAAAACAATCTCTAACAACGTAGCAAACCTATAGCTAAACGGGAAATCAAAAGTTAAGGGTTCAAACATGTATTTTAATAGACAACATAAGTTGAATATGTAATAATAGACAACACAAGTTGATATCAGAGAACACATTAATAATGTAATAATAAACGTATTAAATAAATATAAATGACTGACTAGCTTGCAAAGCCAGAATAAACTTTTTTACATTAATAAAGATAATTGTAATTTTTCAAAAAAAAAAAAAAAAAAACAAACAAAAAAACTTTGACGCCGGGCCGCCGAGAGCTGTCACGCCGCCTGGGACAGGAATCCTGATTGGCGCCCTTATTTATCAAAATTTCCCTATATTGTAAATGAAGGGCCTTTTTTTTATTTTTTAGGCACCTACATTTTATTTGGCGCCCCTTGGATATCTGCCTCGCGGGACAAACTGTCCCTCGCGACCCCCCTCTCGGCGGCACTGCTTTGATGTAGTGTTGAAAATTATTGTAAGATTAGCAAGTATGTTATATTTATCATTTAGGGGTAAGGCGCCAAACACACTCTACAAATTTTTAAAACACCCCTAAAAACATTCAGAACTTGAAAGGTCTGCATAATTGAGGTGGTATTTTATGTTATAATATTGTTACCATCACCTAAGTGAAGGTAACTTAAGTACTTTATAATATAAAAGTTTCAATTGCAAATATTTAATCAGTTTACAATAAAATATGGATTAAAAGAGAAGAATAACTGACGTTTCAATAATCTTTAACTTAGTCAATCTTTGTTGACTAAGTTAAAGAATCATGTTGAAACACTGTAAGTAGTAGAATGTGTTTTATTCAAAGATGTTCCGTATTTTGTAACCAAGCGCAATTAAAACTTATAAGTTATTTTCTGATCATCTTTTTAAATAAAGCAATAATTTTTAATAAAAAATAAGTACTTCTTATATGAACCAAAGTAAGTGACCAATAAGACTCGATTTGCTATATTGCAAATACTGACAAATGGTGAATATCTGACTATTTTACATACACAAGATATCTCAACCTCAAATTTAAAACATGTTTGAAATATTTATTTTTACCACCACAAATGGTTGACACGTGATGTAATTGTAAACTTTAAAAAAAAAAAAAAAAAAAAAAAAACAGTGCTAACTTCCCTTACAACGCAAAAAAAAAAAAATAAAAATAATAATAACAAAAAAATTTTAGTATTTTCTATAGAAGTTGGTTTTACCATTGGTTTTAGCTCTTTATTGACTGTTTAGTTAGCAGTAGATAAGTAGTAGACCTTATTGACAACTTTGTGTCTAATACTAAACATACTTTTTGTACGCAACTAGTTTTGTTCTTGTTTTCAAATTGATCAGAGTATCTAAAGATTACCTGCAAACAGAATAATTTGCCAAGGATAAAAAAAAATCACCTTTAAAAAACGCTTTTTTTGTAACTTTGTCAATAAATAGCGTTGGCGCGACTGTTAATCTGTCATGAGAGGTTATGTCAGTCAAAATCCGTCATGGGAGTTGCTCGCAAGATTATTTAAACGTAAAAATTATAGTAACATATTACGAAATATGAAATTTATTTTAACTATTAAAAATATACAGCAGGTTAAGAATAAATACATTAGACATTCTGTGATAAAATATGCATCATTTTATACGATACTTTTTTACAAGGACGATCACTACAAGTAACACGCGCATTACTAAAAAAATTCACATAAAAACATAGGCGCATTTCATGACGTTCCCTTTAACTACCAGAGTTAATAGAAACCACTACTAGATTTTTTCTAATAAAAATTATCCTACTTCTATCAAAAAAATTAAAATATACGGAAGGAAAACAGCTAAGAAGGCGCTGCAGTTACCATAGTAATTTCGTCAGGTAAACAGTCGTCGGAGCTAAAATACAAGATAAAATAATTAAAAAAATATTGATAGTTTTTAAAAAAATGTTTAGAATTTAATTACTCCTTAATTACTCTTTAAATTACTCCTTACTTTCTTTCGTACGATCGGTGTTGATAATCATCGTTATATTCTTCTTTTATGTTAACAGTTTCTGTGTCTTCATAGCCAATTTCAGAGTTTCTGGAAAAATAAAATCGTTAAAGTATAAATGTATTTTTTTTGACAAAAATGAAGACAGTCTTTTTAAGGAAATAAATAAACTTTTCATGGAATTTTAAGGATTAGTTTTACATTTGGATTCTTCGTTGAAAAATTATGTTAATCAAAGAAAATTTATTTTTTAAATTTTTTTCTTTATTATTTCAACTTAATTTTATTACAAAATTATTGAGGTTTATTGTTCGAGTCACCTATACTTAAAAAAACAAATAAAAAAACAAACATTAAATACTCAGATTAGTGCTTGTTTATTCTGAAAGAAATTATTAAAAAAGAAATCTAAAGGTTCTAATTTGAACATGTTTTATTACTGTTTAACTCCCAGAAAAGGTCGTACAAAATTAACAGGAAGTAAAAAAGCACAAGAAAAGCTCAAAAGATGTTTATCTTCGGGGAAAATATATACTATATCTTAAAGGCACAACAACAGAAGATGTAAAAAAAGCAGATGTGAAAAAGATAACGAGATATCTGAAGATGAGTAAGAAACTGATACCAGCATTCTTGTAAGTGTAGATAATAGGATGCTGTATAAAGTAGATAAATTTAACAAAAATGAACCATTTTAAACTTTATGAAACGTTTTATTTAACTTTTATGTTATGCTGGAAATATTTTATGTTTCCTTTAAATTGTTGTTTAACATTTTTAATAATGAGATTATTTATGAATATTTATACCTCAAAAGGTTTTTATTAATCAATTCTTAAGGAGTATGTATATATGTAGAATTGTACAAGAATGTTCAATACTTTTTATGGATCAAAATAAACTATCATATGTAACCTGAAAAATCTTTCGATTTTTGTTAAAAAACTTCTAAAATAAGCCAAAGTTTTTTTCAATATTTTAAACATTTAAAATATAGTTATTCAAATCAAAATAAACTAATGAAAACATGTAAAATGTGACAGAACTCTTTTTAGAAACATACTGTTCAAATATAAACAATACACATACAAAATACACAAAAACCATCAATTAATTTTATCTGCCTAATTCATTTCTTAGAATTTTTTTTTAAGTACTCTCAGGTGCTTAAAACAAAGGGGAGAGGGTAGGAATAAATGGGAGGGTGGGAAGTTTAGTCCAGATCTAAACAAATGGAAAGGGGTGTCCAGATAAAAGAGAGGGTTGGAACTTTTTACAGAACATAAATGAAACAATTTTAATTCTAGTGTTGCTTGAGGACAAATGCACATTTTTAAACAACTGTTTCATCAAATTTCAATAAGTTTTAATACCCTTGTGAATAAAATATGGTGAAAAAAAAAAAAAAAAAATTATTTTTTGACAAATCGAAACTTTTTATTTTTATTAGTAACTGATAATAAAAAAAATGATAATAAGCTAGGGGAGGGAAAAATTTACAAAAATTAATAAACGTGTATTAAGCATCTAAGAGTAGATTTAATATGTTAGCAAATTCACAAAAGTTATTTTAATCAAGTATTCAAAATTTTCAAAGTCTAAGCCAGAACCATTCACCTATAATGGGTGGCAGGGGGAAATTTTTTTAATGAAAATTCACCATACTTTCAAAAGACTATGTAAAATTTACAAACTCACCAAAGGAGTTGTAAGTTTACATTTTAAATTTTACTTATGTCCATTTCAATTTACAACTTATAAAATATTTATTTTACATATGTCCATTTAAATTGACAACCCATGACATGTGTCATTAATGCATCATAAAATTGCAATTGGTTTATTAATAAATAAAAAGATATTAAGATTTTTTGATTTTATATTTCAATTACATTCAAATAATATAGCATTGTAATTAATAATTTGTATTGTTATAAAATTTTTATTTGTAAAATTTGAAAAAGATCCTATAGTCAGATTATATGACTGAATATACTGCTATTATGTATCTGTGGTAGTGTATGTGTGGTGTGTATCTGTGGTGGTGTATGTGTGGTGTGTATCTGTGGTGGTGTGTATCTGTGGTGTTGTGTATGACACTATGTATCTGCGGTGGCATGGTGTATTATTTGTATTATTGAATCTATTGCTGTAATTGAATCTAACAAGTTATATAGCTCTTTTGTAGCTATATATTTATTTAAAGTTTATAATCATAAATCTAACAAGTTATATAGCTCTTCTGTAGTTATATATTTATTTAAAGTTTGTAATCATGAATCTAACAAGTTATATAGCTCTTCTGTAGCTATATATTTAAAAAATTTTAAACACTTTATAGATGTAAAAATTTAAAATGCAATTAAAAATTGTGATAAAAATAAGACTTAACAAAATTGTTTAAAAAGCATAAACATTACTACCAATAGAAGACAATGTACTCATATACTTAAAATTTTGAAAAATTTTTAAATTTAATTTTTTTTTGAAAGAAATTTGTTAAATACAAAGTCAGCATTTCTCCTGAAAACCAAAAATATTTGTGCTGACAATTTGTCAACAAATTGTGTTGCGTGTTAACAAATTGTGTGTTTTGTGTTAACAAAGGAATGTTCTATAGCAAGATTTCATAAAACTTTCAGGTTTTTAAACAGGCCAGGATCATCACAATTCATTTAATGAATTCTGTAATTGAGTGTCGAAAAAATCCTGTCATTAAATAATAAATGTAGCATCATAGAATATTAAAAATAGAAAATCATTTCCACCACAGCTGTCTTTATCTTTTACAAATCTGTTCTTCTGCTTATGGAGCAGAAGACCAGCAACTTTCTCTTTATATTTGAGAAAGTTTTTAAAATAACTAAATCATTTACTTCAGTACGACCACAACTCCATCTTACCCTTGTTCCATCAACCACAACTCAATCTTGCACCACTCTTTTTTTCTTTAAACATCAATTCTTTGGAATTCTCTCTCATCAGTTTTTTACTCTTTAACTCATAATTTTGGTCTTTCTCCCAACTTAAATAATGGTTGCTAACAGTTTAATTGTGAGTGAAATTGTTAAAAAAAAAAAAAAAAAAAAAAAAGATTAAAGGATTTTTCTAATTTTGCCAACATAAACATAAACAAACACATCATAATAAATCTAACAAAATTCTTTAAAAATCAAAAAACTTGGTTAACAGAAACTTAAATTTACTTTAATAAAAATGAATTGTTTAAATGAAACCTACGATTTTGGGGAATATCCACTATCACCATGTTTTTGATTGCTTTCCATGGCCATTGAAGGAAGATCATCAGCAACATAATCATCTTCAGGCTCTGGAGGTGAATCAGTCTCTTCTTGTTGGCCAGGCATGTAGTAATCACGCTTTGGTCTAATTAATTACAATTACAGTTTCATTTAATTTTTTTTATTGCAACATTCAACCTTTTTAGAGAAACACCCAAAATATATGCACCCCCTTAATGTGTTCTATATAATAAAAAAACACTGGTTTATCAAATTTTTTGAGTAAAAAATATTTTTAGGGGTCCCTCAAGACCCTTGAACATATAATGAGTTCCTATTAATATATTAAAAAAAAAAAAAAAAAAAAAAAATCTTTTAGTATATGTTGGATTTCAAAGGGTTTTGTGGAACCCCTAAAAATACTTTTTATTCAAAAAAATCTTTAAAACCAGTGTTTTTTTATCATACAGAACACAGGGGTGGTAACATATATATTTTTTAAATGTCATTTTTTGGGACACCCTAATAAACATAAACAAAAAGTTGATTAAAAATAACAATAAAAAACAACAAGCATTAAAAAAACTCACAGTCCTGGTTTTGTCATCCTTCTCCTAAAGAATTCAACATCATCTACAGTCCAAACGGCTCCTTTAAAATTTTCTTTACGAACGAAACACTTATGCAAAGAAAGATTATGCCGTACTGCATTCTAAATTTCAATGATTGAATACATTCTATAATAAGTAAATTTTATTACATTATTTAAACAGACATGGTTAAATGAAAATGGTCCACTTTGCTTATAGAAAACAACTAATCATTTTCTCTTAAATGTATATTACATGTTCAAAGGTTTTACCAAAGAACATAAACCAATATAAAAAAAACTTGTATGTAATTTCACTTTTAAAATTGAAACCAAAAATTGTTTCCTTTACACCCAACACTTAAATTGCAGAAGTGTTTATGTAAACATATACTATTTAATATATTCATGCAATAAAAGGGGTGAAGAAATTAAATTCAAAAGTTGTCAACCATCCTACAAGTAGAATGTTTTCAATAGACAAAGATAAATAGAAAAGATGGCCTCAACTGATTGTCCTAACCGTATATCTTTTTATTTCAATTACCTAAAAATACTTACCTAACATATGCCTTATACTTTTTTTTTTGAAAATAAAAAAGAAATGAAAATGAAACCAATAAAAAATTTAACATTAAAAAAAAAATGTATTTAAAAAATTCCAAAACATATTTAGTTTCTCATTATGAAAGGCTGTCAGGTTTCCATGTGGAAACCTGATGGTTTGGACAAGTTTCCATGTGGAAATTTGTTGGTTTTTTTTCAAACCATCTTAGTGTGCAACCATATTAAACTTTAAAATAAATAAACTAAAAAATTAAAATTTTTAACAACTTTATAATATGAGAATACATTTAAAAATTTTTTTAATTAAAAATTGTTTTTTGTAAATTTTAAATCAAAAGTCAATGAATACACTACTAAATATAAAATAAAAATAATTTTACCTTCCATGTACTTGTATTTTTTCGAAAGTAAGCAAAGTTTTTCATAAACCAGTTGTATATTTCATTTAACGTTAGCTCTCCATTTGGTGAATCCATCACACCTTGCCTTATTAGAGAAGCATATGTATAAGGAGGTCGAACATCAGGATCTTCAAACAGCTTACCTTTAGCTCGCAGTTCTTAAAAAATATTCTGATAAAAAACTTCTCAGACACAAAAAGACAGAAGTTAAAAGTATTTAAAAGCAAAAATAAACAAAAAATCTGAAAAACCGAATACCTTGCCCAATATCAACCATTGCAGCTGCCTCGCCTCTCCTCCTGACAGGGTGATAAGAACTATCATGTACTGAGTTCATTTTTAAGTGTTGTTGCATATGCGATGAACCAGTTGTATGTCCTTCAACAAGCATAGATCGATGTATTTCCGATGAATGCCGCTCATGATTCATTCCTATTAATCCTGGAGATGTAATATGTTCTTTTTTTGGACTCCGCCTATCAATTTCATTTGGAGATTCCCTTTTAGGTGGAATAGGGTATGTCTGATGTAAAGCAGGATAGTATCGTTGAGGCGGTGGATGATAAGGTCCTTGTGACTTATGATGAGGAATAAAGTTATTATGACCAATGTTGTGAGAAGGAAAACGCCTTGGAGAAGTAGACGGCGGAGGTGAGCTAAAACCATCTCTTGTGTAAGGGTGTAATGGAGAAGTTAAATGTTCATTATCTGTTGAATGATCAAAAGAACCAATATGACTACGAGATCCAGGTGGCGGATAGGGTACCATTACACATTGCCCACTTCCATTTGATGTTGAAGGATGTGAAGTAACCTGAACTGAGTGTCTCCCAGGAGGCGGAGATAAATTATGAGCAGTCTTTTGAAGTAGTATTGACCCCTTAAATTAACTTTACTAATTGAAACATATTTATCAAATTAAATTCATTCAAATAAACATAATTTGATTAAATTGATTAACTGATCAAAATAAATAAGAAACCTTTTCATTTGTGAACTGCAGATGGGTAAGCATGGCAGTCAATTTGCTTTTTTCATATGACAACTAAAAGGTTAATAAAACAAATGTTTTTTTTTGGAGAAAGTGACAAATCAGATAGCAGAAAAACAAAATTTTGAAACCTTTTCTTCTAACTCTCGAACAACGTATCCTTGCACTCGAGCTTGAGCTGCACCTTTCTCATCAAGAACATGATAGCTGTCTAAATGTCTAAAATTAATTTTTTTAATTACAAAAACACTGTATGCATATTTCAAATTAAAAACTGATAATGAAATTATAGGTAGGAACCTTAAATGCTGAAATTAAAATTGAAAGTAAAAATGAATACCATTTCTAGAAGCTTCAACATTTTTTTTTTTTTTTTAAATTTTAATTCACCTCCTCAAGGCTGAGAAGGCCACTACAGACGAGGAGGCTACTTATTCGTGGCTATAACCCTCTCTCAACTCTATAACTCCAAAGCACGAACCTTGACGAACAAGGCCGCTGCGCGGAGAAACGAGTTGAGCGCGGTACTACCAGGGACGTGGTGGGGATCGAACTTGGAACCACTCGTTTATGAAGCGAGCGCTCTACCACTACACCACTACCGCATATATTTGTTAAGGAATCATGGGTTCATATGATAAAAAGTTTGAAAAAAATGAACACAAAAATAAAATAGTTTACCTAATAAAGTCAGTCCTTGAATTAAATGCTTGATCGCATGAAGGCCACACGCAACGCCCATTTCTCAACAATTTATGAATAACTAAAAAAATTTATACTAGTCTAAAGCTTTAATATAAACAACCAGTTAAAATAAATTTGCAATTTTTTGCATAAATTATGAACAAAGTTATGAGTATATAAAATTTTTACAATTTATACTTTTTCTAAATATTATAGCATTATACTCTGTTTAATTTTGTTATATTATATTTTTATTATATAGCATATAATATTTTAAAATTACTTTAAAATACAGCATCAAAAAAATATATATTTTTAATTTTTTTTTTCAACTATATTTTATCTTTAAAAACTTAAGTACAAAATATTAAAAAAAGTTGAACCATCGATGGTAACTAGGGAATAAACATCACTTTTTGACAAATTCACTTTTCTACATTTTTTAGATATTGCTTAATTGTGAGTTTGAAGCAAGGGCTTAAATTATTATTTTCAAAGAAAAATACTTATTTATTATTTACAATTATTAAAAGGACTTGAGTATTATTTTCAAAGAGCTATATTATTAAGTTTTACACCTAAATAATGTAAATATGTAGAAAAATCAATATGTCAATAAGCAGTGTTTCCTTCTTCCTATTGGTCATTCTATTATTATAACAGTTATCAAGATTTTCATCAAACCTGTATGTTCATCCATTCCACTTTTTTCAAAACTAAAAGAATAAAAACAATTTAAAAGAAATGTATTATAAATAAAAATTACAATTATTATTTACGATTTTTTTTCTTCCAAACAAAATAATTAGATAAAAAACAAGAACCCATAGTTGCTTAGATTAACTTTTAAAATACACAATAAAATATTTTTTTTTTAATTACTATTCCACAAGCTGCTCTCAACTCTGATTATTATAAATAATACTTAAGATAAAGCTTAAAGATACAGAAAGGTTAGTAGTAAAGTGCTGTAGTCGCCATGGTAGCCCTACAGCCGCACTACAGATATGGTGGTACAGTATTGGTAGTAGTGGCAATAATAAGAATTATTGCCACTACTACCAATATATTATATAATATTACACTAATTCTGTACTACCCCTTACAGTGTAAGGGGTGGTACAGAATAAAATAGTACTAAACTTTCCTTAGCAAATCATATACAACAAGAACAAGATTCTGTCAAGTAAGCTTTGAAAATTCCTACAAAGCATTTGAAAATGGCAAAATCTAAACCTGAGACAGTAAGTGCTTTTTGAAAGTCCCAAATTCTGTTTAATGGAAATCATATAAATCTCATAAAAATTAATATTAAATAACTATTTTTCCAAAAAAGTTTTCTGGAAGAAATATCAAGTGAATAATCAATGAATCTAAGTGAATCTTATTTACAGAGCAATTAAAAAAAAATTATTTTGTGACCACGAATAATTTATTTGTGGATTATTGAGACAAAGAACTATTTGCTATTTTATAGGATTTAATATTTTTTACAAAAAGAAATATTAGACTAAATTGTTTCTAAACAAAATTGTTTTCCTGTACCCCTCTTTTTCTTATCCCATCAATGCATTGATTACAACTAATAAACTTCTACAAAAAAAAAAAAAAAATAAAAAAAAAAAAAAATAAAAAAAATAAAAAAAAAAAAACTTACTTTCTTGTTTCTCTAGTACAATTTACCATACCTTTTGGCTAAAAAATAAACAAAGAAAATCTGAAAAATGAGACAAAAACAAAATAAAAACAATAAAAAAATATATTCCCTTGTACTTCCTACTTCAAATTTATATTATTTTCTTATGTATATTGTTTTTAATGTTACTATTGTATTTTTACAATTTTACAATATTACTTTTCAAATCCTGATACATAAGTTTACTTTAGATTTGTGATTGAAATATCACAAGTTATAAATAAGAAATACGTAATTATTTCAAATACATAAATAGTCTCACTAAACCAACTCTCTGTAATTCTTTTATTATCTATTTGGATCCTTTACACAAAAACTATAGTAGATAGTTTTGATTTTTTATAGTAGATAATTTTGATAATTTATGACTTATGAAATCTTTGTTAAATGATTTATTATCTCTATTAAATGACTTATTATCTCTATTAAACCTGTAATTCTTATATTTAGATACCTGATTATTAAGCAAAAGGAAAGATTTCGGTTCATCTTTGTAATAATTTGTTTGCTTCCCGTGATAGGAGTGCACAGTATCGCTACATATGTAAGCATCATCATGTGGCGTAACAGCTTTGAAACTGTCCGCAACAGAAATATTTTGTTTTTGGTTTTGTTGAGGGAGTTGTTCAATTAATGGGGACTTATCATTATCAACACCACTGTCATCACTGTGTTCATTCATTTGCTATACAAACACAGAACAATTTTATTATTCTAAATTTCAGACATTATTATTAGCAACTCATTCTTTGATAATTAGAACAACACTGGTGAAGATTAAAAAATACACTTATTTAATAATTTTTTATACATTTAGATATTCATTTAGATAAATATTATATCCACAAATAGAGATATACACACATTTATTTATTTATATAACACAATGTGGTTTACAAGTCCAAATGCTAAAATTAAAACCTCATGTTACACACACAAATATATATATATATATATATATATATATATATATATATATATATTTACACACACACTAACATACACACATACAAATATATATACATACACATATATTTATAAGTATAAATGCATATATATATATATATATATATATATATATATATATATATATATATATATATATATATATATATATATATATATATATATATATATATATATAAAACATGATATACAAGTTGCAGTGCTACAACTAAAGTCTCATATTATACTAATCTTGATATTTGTTTGTAATTTCATTTTATTGTTAAAATCTTTTAAAAAATTGCACAATAATAAAGATTAAAGAATTTTTAATTTTGAAATCATTATAAAAGCAATAGTGAAACTTGAAAAAAATAATAATTTGTTTAGCTTAAAAACATTTTTATAAAAAAAACACCTTCTAGCTGTTCCCACCTTCTATGATACTAATAGATTCTGCATTATACACACAAAAAAACAATAACAATAGGGAACAGATTGTTTATTTTTAACAAAACAACAATACACTTAATAAATAACTTGTTTACATATATATTATTTATTTCAACAATCTTCTCTTATTCTTATTTGTTGCATTGTTATATGTGTTTATTTTAAACATGTTGCTTATATTATTTCTTTTTTTATTTTTTCTCATTTGAAGACTAAACAAACTATTCATTGCAATACTACTATTCATTGGTAGATTTTGTTTATTTTATCTAAAAAAATAATAATAAAGTGGGTAAGTTGTTTACTTATCAACTGAAAAAAGCAAACAGATGGCACAGATTTTTGTAAAATTTAAAAAAAAACAAAACAAAACAAAAAAACATATTAAATTAAAACACTAATCTTTTTATGCCTTAATAATAATCTTTTTTTTTAAAGCAAAAAAATAAAATAAATCTTTTTATTTACTGTAAACATTTTTTTTTTATTATTGAAATAAAATTACATAATATCTTTAAATATGATATTAACTTTATATTCAAAATATTTATAAATATAACTTTGCATCTCATATATTTTAACATTTCATCGTTTAAAAGTAAATACCGTTTTTCAATAACAATAAAAAGATCATATATAAGTTAAAAAGATATTAAAAAACTAATAATCAAAAGAACTATAAAAAATAAAACAACAAAAAATTTTTTTTTTTAAACTTTAATAGTAATAATAACTTACTATAAAAGCATTTTTTTCTTTTAAAAATTTTTGTTTTGGAGATCAAAAAAAAAAAAAAAAAAAGTTACAAAAACCAAGCCATTAATAATAAAATATCAACAAACTTAATTCAAATTTTCTTTGCTCTCATTTCTTAACTTAATAATTCACAAGTCAATTCAACATTCATTGTTTATAAAATATACACAAGTCTTCTATCAATGACCTTTAAAATTTAATAGCAACCTTCACAAAATGCAAAAAATCTTGAAAAAAGTTAAAGTTCACCAACATAGTTACCAGTCCTTTAAAATGAGATGACAAGTTGAATTGCAACTAGTTATAAAGAATTTACAATGTATTTTCAATATATATTATTTTATAAAAACAAAATCAATCATACATTTAGTTATTAAAAAGATTAAGTTTGGAGAACTTCCCCATGTATTTAAAAATAAAACCATAACAGTTTAAAAATTATTATATATATATATATATATATATATATATATATATATATATATATATATATATATATATATATATATATAAAATAATGATAATAAATATATTAATATAATGTCTAATATGAAGATTACTTATTTATACATATACATAACTATATTAAAAAAAAAAGATCTCAAAAAAAATATTCAAAATAATTTAATTGATAAACCATTGACAGCTCAAAACCTCATGATTAGGTCATCAACATCATATTTGGAATTTAAAAATAACTACCTATCAATATTTTGAAGCATTTCAAAATAACACCAATAAACAACTTTTGTAATAAAAAAAAACTTTAGATTTTAAAAGAGATCAATATATGGCAAATGAGAAAAAACAAAACAACGTTTCTTAAACACTTAAAAGCACTTGACAAAAAAGTATAAAAAAACAATAACAACAACAAGCAAATAAAGACTCTGGTAAACTTTTAATTAATGCAGATAAGTGTATTGAATGAAAATCTTTTTTGATGCAACAATGGTTTTAAATGCCTTAAAATATCTTAACACAACAATGTAAATAAGAAGCAGGAAACACAAAAAAGGAAAAGCTTATTAGCAGTTCGCAGAATGATGTGAATGTGTTTAAATTTAAAAATCGAATATACAAAATAAATAGTTTTAAAATACAAAACATATTAAAGTTAAAATAAAACCTTATAAAAATAACTAATCTTAAAAATACTTAACTAATAGAAAAAACAATATTACAACATGAAAATCTACACACACACAAAAAAAAAAATTAAAAAAAAAAAAAAGTAATAATAATAATAATAATAAGATATATCAACAAAATAAGCAAAATTTTTTTTTTTAAATGCTGAAGACATTTAAACTAATCTGAAATAAAAAATTTTAAATTTAATTTATATTTCATTTTTTATTAATTATTAAAAAAAAAAAAAACTATTATTGTAAAAAATACATTAAGTAAATAGTTTTACTAAAAACAATTTACTAAAAATAATTATACTAAAAATTTAAAAACCTAATTCAAAATATGAAGCTAACTTTGGATAAATACAAAACTTTTAAAGGCTACCAGCAAAAATTATTTGAAAAACTCTTTAATAGCAAAATATAAAATGATTTTAACAATACAACTTAAAAATAATGCAAGAAAAAACACACACACCACAAATCAACAAAAAACAACAACAACAACAAATGCATAATTCACAAAAATGCACCACCAACTCAAAACTATACTCAAAAACAACAACGAAAAACACAGGTGTCCTTGTAAACATACTAACAACTTCCAATAAACACAAAGCTTGCTTCAAATGAAAAATGCCATCTATAGAAGCCAACCTTCTGCATGCTGCTAGAGCATTTAACAAAACATTATTTTCTTTTTAAATTATTAACAACAATTTTCCAAAAATTATTATTTTCAGAATATTAATATATATATATATATATATATATATATATATATATATATATATATATATATATACATATATATATATATATATACACACAAATATATATACACAAATATATATATATATATAATATATATATATATATATATATATATATATATATATATATATATATATATATATATATATATATACTCACATAGTTTTGTGTGTGGTGTGTAATAATGATTCAAACTAACCAAATATACCATGTTTGTAAACATTTTTCATTTTCAGTTTTATAATTTTAAAACAACTCACTTACTTTTTGGTAATCACCATGACACACACAAAACATCTTATGAAATTAAAAAATTCATTTAAACATTTTAGAAATTTACCCCAATTAAAATTAAAAAACCATCAAAACATCTGATGTCAATAAAACAAAAAAACAATTTATTTTAACAATTAAAGGAAAAGAAAATAACTACAAAAAAAAACAAAACAAAACAACAAGAACAAAAATGGAGAAAATGAAAAACAAACACAACACCCTGTAGTGAGCAACATTAAACAGTTCAATTGTTGAATAATGCTACAAATAAAAACAACACAAGCAGGAGGTATTGTTGTAAAATAACAATTATTTGTGTTCATTGAGATGTATTTATTAATTGCTAAGCTATCTCTTGTTTTTATAAAGATTCCATAGCAATCAAAAAAACAAATTTGTTAAAAATTACAAATATATATATATATATATATATATATATATATATATATATATATATATATATATATATATATATATATATATATATATATATATATATATATATACACACACACACACACACACACACACACACACACACACAAACAAGACACAAAAAATAGTATGTATAATAGAGCTCAATCATATAATACAATTTATTTATATAAAAATTGTTTTATACATACATGCATATATATATATATATATTTATATACATACATACATATATATAAATTAATAAAACATCTTTCTCTCTACACACACACACACACACACACACACACACACACACACACACACACACACACACACACACACACACACACACACACACACACAGAAAAACAAATAACCAGCTCCTTTTCTGAGCTGGTAATCAGAAAAAAAATTAAGTATATAATATTAATCAAACTTTTATGTTACCCATCAGCAAAAATGGAGTTGTCAATGTTAAGTTATTAATTGATTTCTTCCTTTTTAAAAACTCTTGTTTTATGCATTATGCTCAGTTTACTGTATTATGATATAAAAAATAAAAATTGATTCTTTAATACAAAATTCTATCACAACTCTTTCCTTAAGCCCATTAAATATTTTAAGAAATAAACTTGAGACAGTACCAAAAAGATGCAAACATGTTTCTGCATTTCTGACAAGATTATTTCGAACAATTAACTTAATCATCATAATCATTATAAGACACCTTGCAAAGACATGTGATTGCAAAAATATTTTGTTCTTCAGATATAGAGGTATAAAGATCAAATTTTTGATAGTCCCTAGTAACAATATACTTAACTTATTTCTCTGTGAAGAGGTCTTTCTTGTCAAAATTCGTTTTTCTAAGAGAAAAATGACTACTTTTCTACTTTAATAAAATAAAATGTATTAAGAAAAAACAACAACTTACAACTGATGTATACATTTGAGGATCCCAACGGATATTTTCAACATATATTTTTTGTGACTCAATGTATTCATTAATCAAGTAATGTTTGCTTTGATGAGATTCATATTTACTTTGATTATATTTTGACAAACAAAGTAAACTCTCTTCCTCATTTCTCTCAGACTTGTTCCTTTCAGTATCATCTGCCAACTTGGTTTTGTGCTGAATGTCAAAATTGTTATTACCTATAACAAATATTATTATTGAACTAAAAAAAATTATCCATTTCAACTTCAATTATGTTCTTTTTTCAAAACAATTCATTTTTTCTCAAAATAAAAATGCAGATAAATCACTTTACTCAGAAAATGAATTGCACAATCAATATTATACCATGATGTTCAATTGAATTTCTCATAAAAATATTTGAGTTAAATTTCTCTTGATTTTGATGTTTAAACTTATAAAAACTTTCTTGAGACACCATTTTTCTAACACTTGGTGATTGCATAACATTTGAGCAATAGGTATTTCTTTCAAGCGAGTCTAAATTAATAACAAAAATATAAGTGAATAATAATAATAATAATAATAATAATAATAATAATAATAATAATAATAATAATAATAATAATAACAATAGTAACAATAATAACTATAGTAATGAGAATTATAAAAGCTTTAATTATTTTAACTAAAATTAAAAAATAAATAATAAAAATTCCATATAATTAAATCATTCTTTGTTTTTAGTACTGAAATAATTGGTCACAATATTAAAGAAAAAAATTCGTCAAGAAAAAGTAAGATGCCATTTAAATAATATCAGTAGTTTCTAAAAATTAAAAATAATTAAAATAAAACTTAATGTTGAAATTATTGTTTAACTGTTATTATACACATATTGTTGTATTATAAAACATAATATTGTAATAAACATATTTTTTGTAATATAAAATTAACAAAATCAAACCAAGCAAAAAGTTGTCACCATTTTCTAAGAACAATTTGTAAAAAATCTTCTGAAAAAATCTCCCAAATTATTGATTTACTTCAACCACATACTTTCATCATATTTTATAACTCAATTTTATTTTGTTTTCATAATTTATTACCATTTATCAACAAATCATTGATTTATAAATGTTTTTAAAACAAAATAATTTGATTACTAAAAAAATTAAAAAAATAAAATAAAAGGGTTTAAATATGATATAAGTTATTTTACTAATCAAAATACATTAAAATACTATCAACAATAATAATAATGGTTTAAAAACCAAATATAAGTATTATAAATATTCTTATTATTTATTTTTTTTTATTCTTATGAGTTTTGAAAAGATTGTTAAAGTTTAATTTTTTTGTTTGAATACTTTATTTTCAATGTTTCAGATTTGATTCATTGATTTCTAACACTCATTAAAAATAAAACAAAAAGAATGAAAAAAAAAAGGAAAAAAAATATATTAAAAAACCATACATGTATACAATTATATACAAAACCAAAATCATTTGATTCATTTAGAAAAAAGAAGTACCAACCTATATCTATATATATACACTTATACATAATAATACATTTGTATACAAAGTATAAAAACAAGTGTTATGACACCTCCTATTCCGTATATTCTCGTTAAAATTCATCAAATTAGTGGTTTAGAAAGCACCAGTAATTGAGAATATTTTTGTTTTTAATTGATATATATATATATATATATATATATATATATATATATATATATATATATATATATATATATATATATATATATATATATATACACTTACAAATAACACCTTGTTTATAACCTTGTGAGTTGTACTAAAGTAACTGCATTAAAGTAAATTTAATAGTTCTTTCTAAAACTACAAAAACACAAATGCAACTTTATCGACTAGAAAGTATATCTTTTAATTTTTTATTGTTTTTTTAAATTATTTTACTTTGATTTATTTCTTATAACTTTTTGTCTTTTATATTTAATTTATTGACTGAATTATTATAAATATAAGTAAGACTGAAACATGCATAGACTGAGTAGAAATATACACACTAAAGTGAATATACATCAGCTAAGATTTTTGGTTTGGGTACACAGTATAAATATTTAAAAACTTTTTTTTTTTAATTTTTAAACTTTTCCCAAACTTCTTTTAAAACTTTTTTTATTTAACTTGGAATTAAAGTATTATAGAACTAATAGAAAAATTAGGATATATTTTTCTGTATTCAACTCAACAAGGCCACAGAGGCTACAACACTTAGTGGGCACAAGCTGATGTATATGAAATGTATTAAAATGTTTTTTTAGATTCAAAAAGGTTAATTTGACATGTGACACTCCTTGACTGCGCACAGAGCAGTCCGCTGAATTTTTTTATAAACCATCTCTCCACCCTTTAATTTCAAAACACAAAACTTAATGAACAAGATCATTACGCAGAGAAACAATTTGAGTGCATCACTACCAAGGATGTAGTAAAGATTTAACTTGAAACTTCTCTTTACAAAGTGAATGCTCTACTGTTATATCACTACCATATTAACAGTGTTAATAACAAAACTGTAAAAAGTTTCATAATAACATTTATAATAAAAAAATTGTCTTATATCAGCAATAAAATCTTAATTAGAACTTGTTTAAGTTCTACCAAAATATTTCTTTACAAAAAACTAATACCAAAACTTTGTCATAAAGACAGAAACTTAATAATGGTACAATAAACCTTAGCTATGTGCCAAAGATGTTAGAACTTTTCATAACATAAATTTTCTTATATATATGTAAGTCTTAGCATAGATCTTATTTTTAATAAATTGCTTATTTTCTTACTGATATTTTTTAAATACAGACTAGTTTATATATTAGTTTATATACAAGTTTTGATATTGCCACTAATGGTTTTATTTTTTGGTAATTTGCTTTAAAACAAATAAAATCATAAAATTTTGTTTTCAAAGGTAATTTGATATATTTCAAAAGTAATATGATATATTATATAATTACAACACTAATTATAATATCTAAATTTATTATTAATAACAAGTTGATATTAACTAACACTAAAATGAATCATGTCAGTAATAGTAATAAAGTTTTCAACTAGCAATAACCACGTCTCGGTTTAACCTCATTAACTATGGTAATGCCACTGCGCAAAGCAATACTGGTATGATTACACCGAATAAAATTAATAGAATTGTCAAAATCTCCATCTTATAAGCTTCTTTTTTTTTAATTCTGAAAGGTCGTGAAAATACCAAATAAAATTAATAGATTTTTGGAAATTTGCACAAGAGAACACAATAACTTGCTGGTTTTTAAAAGTAAAAAACCAACAACTTAAAAATTAAATTAAAAACTTGCCATATTTCCTTTGTCTATGAAACACCGTTTATGTTAACCCAGATTTTTTTTTCTTCCAAATATGATAGCAGCTTCCCTTCAAAAATATTTTAATCGGTTACCGTGTGAAAAGCTTTATACGGGTCAGTCAAATTAGAAAAGCTTATTTTGAATTTATTTGATTATTTTAATCCTATAAATAGTTTATCTAAATGATTTAAATTATTTAAAATCTATGATGAAACGATTAATTGATTTTGCTAGTAAATTGCTACAAATAAATTTCATTAAAAAAAAAGTTCATTTGCAGAAATGGCACAAGAGAAAAAAAGCGAGTAACTTTGTTACACGTTAACCCATTTTTAATCAATAGCCTCAAAAGATTAGATTAGAAAGAGAAATTAATTTAAAAAATTTATAAAATTCTTTAATAACCTTAGTGTTATAAGTATTATAGTTTTTTAAATTTAATTTGTTTAAATATTTTACATTATCTTAAAGAATGTTTGGAATTTTAACGTATCCTTTTTCTACTGCGTAAATGGCGGTTTCGTATTGCATTTGCCAAAAGTTTTAGCTCATGTTAACTTGAACTATTTTTTTTTGTGCGAGTTTTTGATATAAATTTGAACATTATTTAAATAGACGTAAAGATATATGCAAAAGTATAGTTAAAGGAGTTCATATAAGAGCGAGACACAATTGCTTGTATAATGAATAGCGTTAAGTCATATTTGAGCGTACCAGCCGTTTAGTAATAATTAATAAGTCCAAAAATCTATGGCACTTAGACGATTAAATGACATTAATGACTTCCTCGTTAAACTTTGTTATAATAGAACTTGGATTAATATTTAATTAGGTCTTGTTGGAGTGTTTTGTGAAGCAATTTTCTCTCAGCCAAAATGGGTGAGAGAAAATTTTGCTTTTAAACGTCTTGGTTTTTGTTTTTGTTTTTCTTAAAAAAAAAGAAAAGAAAAAAATGATTTTACAACAAACCTGGTTTAATTTACTTTTATGAGAACAAAATAAAAACAATTTGAAGTTAACATCTTCAACTTACTATGTGAAAGAAGTTTATATTGCAACATCACTGTCTATATGAGATTGTCTTTCAGTAAGCTGAAATAAATTAAGAACTATTTTAGGCCACTGAAAAGAAAAATGCTTTTCTTATCTAATGATTAGTTAAAAACGATAAGACTAAGATTCTGTCATAATTTCATATCATAATCATATAAGTTTTTTTTTCAGTTATTAAAAAACACTTTTTTTCCTTAAAATAACGTGAAGTTAAATGAAATTCATTATTTCAGTAATGATATTTAAATATTTTGAATAATTTCTTTATGCAATTCTTAAAGTATCTATAAACATAAACACATATACTTAAATCTCCTTAAGTATATATATATTTGTTTTGCATAAATTGTGTACTTTAAAGAAACGTAAAAAATATAATACACTTCAAAAAAGTATACGTAACTATGCATTTTTATGGCATAAGTTTTCTTATCATTATTGAGTTTATTTTGCTCTTTACTATAATTACAATATATATATATATATATATATATATATATATATATATATATATATATATATATATATATATATATATATATATATATATATATATATATATATATATATATATATATATATATATATATATATATATATATATATATATATATATATATATATGTATATATATATATATATATATATGTATATATATATAAAAGAAGTGACAAGTAGCTGGAGCTGGATTTTTATTTAGTAATATTAAAACTATATGTTACTAGCTTCATATCGTAGCTTTGTAACATCCTAAAACCTAACTTTAACATGGTCATAAAAACATAATCATTTAAATTATTTAAAAACATAACATAAAATTAATTGGCACACTATACTACTAGCAATTTATATCAT